CCAACTTCACTGCACCTGACTCGTCCACCACGGGCAGGGCAGAGACGCGGTTCTGCACGAAGATGCCGAGGGCCACGTAGACGGGCGTGGTGGTGCGCACCATCGCGATGTTACTATAGGTGCCAATCCGCAGCTCCTCCAGCGTCTTGGACATGAACTCCGGCTTTGGCACCTCTGTGATCTGCAGGGGCCAGGGGGTCAGGCACAGCTGCCCGGCTTGGCCCCCCACCCCAGGAATCGCCGTCCCCACCCCCAGGACTCACAAAGAGCTTGAGGAACTTGAGGATGCGCTTGTGCGTGAGGATGTAGAGGGTGTTGCCCGAGTCAGGGTCGATGACAGGCAGCCGGTGAATCTTGTTGCGGATCAGCGAGGAGACTGCGTCGAAGAGGCTGCCGGGGAGACGTGACCTATGGCTACCTGGCATCACCTGCCGGCCCCTCCCTCCCCACCCAGCGTCACAGGGCTCACCTGGCATTCGGGGAGATGCACACCAGAGGCTTGAAGGAGTCTTGCAAGTAGACTTCTACCAGGCAAGAGGAAACAGACTCAGCCAGGTAAGGCCAGTGCCAGGTGCAAGACTGGTGGGTGGTGCTGCTGCCAAAGGAACGCCCGGGAGGAGCCCTGTCCCCTCCACAGGCTCCCCATGCAACACCAGCCCCGTTCCCTGCTGCACCCCCGGCCCCTCTCACCTCTCCACGTCTCTATCTTATGCTCCTCCAGCTCGTAGATCTGCACCTGGAAACACAGGGCAAGTTAGTCCTGGCAGGGGTGCGGCAGCTCCCAGACAGCAGCCACAGAGCACCAGGCCCCAGGCAGCTCCCAAGCTAGGAGGGTGAAGCCCCAGCCCCCTCCAGCACCCGTCATTACCATGGGCGACTTGTAGTAGCGATGGAGGATGTTGATGAAGTCGGTGATGGTCAGCATCCCTGAAGGGGAAGAGGGAGTGAGGGGGCTGTGCCTTGTGCCCCACGTCCCAGGGATCCTCCCTCCCTCCCATGCCCCGGCTGTGTCCCTAGCTCACCCACAAAGCTCTGCTTCTTGCTGTCCCAGAGCGGGGCAGCCCTCACGCCATTGGTGACCAGCGCAAAGAAGGCCTTCTTCACCTGCAGCCAGATGCGCGGGCGGATGTCAGGGCTGGGGGGGCCCCAGCAGCCCCATGGAACCCTCTCCGTTCCCAGCCCCACGCATCCGCAGCCCAGGAAATGGGCAGGCACTATCGCTCCTGCCCCCAGGGCCCAGCCCAGCACCCGGAGACCATCATCTACCTGCAAGGAGGTGTCGAAGACGACCAGCTTGGAGCTAGTGGGGATGAGGTCGTAGCAGCGATGGGACCTCATGAAGCAGGTGTAGATCCCGCTGTTGGACTCTGCGTCTGGGGGGGGAGGGGAGAAGAGGCATCGGGGACCGGCACTGCTTGCCCCCTGCCCCCCAGCCCACATCCAGACTGCCCCCCCCCGCTCGGAGCCCGGCCCTCACCCTCCGGCGTGGGGGGGGCCTTCTCGGCGACGCTCTCAGGAACGGCGCCCTGCGGACGAGAGGAGTCAGCAAGGCCCCGCCCGGGGGCCGGAGCAACCCCACGATACCAAGTTGGGGCCAGGCCCCCGCCAGGAGGGCCCGCGGCCAGGGGAGCAGCACCAGGAGAGGCCGCAACAACCCGGGGGTCTCTGCCCCACTCGCTCCTGCCGGGAGACCCGGACCCCCAGGACAAGGGCAGGGGCGGGGGCCGCGGACTTCACCTCCATGGCTGCCCCCGCCCGCCTCCCTGCAGCACCGGGCGCAGCGCCGCCGGATCCGGTGCTCCACTTCCGCCCGGCCCCGGGACTTCCGCCAGGAGCCGTCACGTGAGCGGAAGCAGCGAACAGGGCACGGAAGTGGCGCCGCGACCCCTATGACTTTTGATCCCGGAAGCACGTGCCCTTGGACGGGAACGAGCCGGGTGCCTCTCGCCGAGCTGGGGAAGGAGCCCGGGCGTCCGCGCTCCCCGATTAGCTGAAGGGCAGGAATCATTAATATCGGGGATGGCGCCAAGTAAATGATCGGTAACAATCACGAGTCGTTGGTCAGAGGAACTCGAGCGCAGTGACTAGTGCTGAGAACGAGGGCGTCAAAGAAGTGATCAGCGAGAGCAGCCACGAGGCATTGGTCGCTGTAGGAAACCAGTCAATGAATAGTGATAAGAATAATAATGAGGGCCCCAACTGATCAGTAATTATGAGCCATTGCTGATTATAGGGAGTCGATCACAATAGGGGTAATAACGAGGGTCTCCACTGATCAATAATAGCAGTCACATCATCGGTGGTTAAAGGAAACCAATCGATTAATAGTGATAATTATAATGAGGGTCCCATGTGATAAATAATTATGAGCCATTGGTAGTTATTGGAAATTAATCACAATAGGGATAATAGTGAGGGTCTCAAATGACCAATAATCCCAAGTCATTGGTGGTTGTAGGAAACCAAACACAGTTAGTAGTGGTAGTAGGAGGGTGTCAAACAAATGGTCAGGAGCCACTGGTGGTTGTAGGCAATCCATCACACTAGCGCTAATAATAAAGAGGGTCTCACAAGTCATTGATTATAAGAAATCAATTATTAATAGTGACCCAATGGTGATGAAAATGTAGATAATGGTAAAATAATTAATTTAAAATAAGTCCTTTAAAAATGCACTGAAAAACGAGATCAGGACTGCCCCCCGCCCCCCCCCGCACGTGGCCCAAGCGCCGAGGTCCAGTCCAGTCCCCTGGGGCCTCGGCTCCATGAGGGCAAAATAAAGGAGCGGGGAGCCCCCCGGAGTGCCATTGCTGCTCAGTCATTTATTGAACCCCAGTTGCCGCCTTCTGTACAGGCTGCACGGAAAGCAGCACCTGAGCGGCGGGCGCCACAGCTTCATTTAAAAAACAGAACAACGAAAAAAACAAAACAATAAAGGGGTTATTTTATTTTTTTTTTTCGGGGGGGGGGGGGTCATAAAAGGTCCAACTGAGAATAGAACAGTCTGTGCAACCGGGAAGGGGCAGGACCAGGCTCCAATGCAATGATACAGGCAGAGCTTTAAAAAACACACATCCAACCTCAGCTCCAAGACTGACCGCGATATACTTTAATATAAAAATTAAAAACTGTATAAGGTTTATTTTCTCTTTCCCCCCCCCAGCTAAAATCTACAGCCTATTTTATTCTCTAACCGTAATCTAAAAAGCCAGACAACCCTGGTAGTTCATCTTTTCCCAGCTTGAACCCCCTTGTTTTATTTATTTCTGTAGCGATTTTTAAAATGTTTCTTTTTATTTTTTATTTCTCTTTTTATCTATTTTTCCCTAAGTTTCTGTTTCTGAGAAAATATTTACAATAGCAGCACTCTTGAAATTCCATTGAAAAAC